TTAATCTAAATCAAGCTAAGCATCTGTGTATCGAAGCTTGCCGAAAGACTTCAAGCTGAACAAACTGCATAGGTTACGAGCTTGTGTTTAAGCATAGCAATAAAGTTGAACATATAAGGTGGAATACAACACGCGAAAAACACATAAAAACTAACTATTGAGGTTGAAGTGTGAAACATCCTAATCTCTCCTTATTTTCAGCTACTCAGATTCTTTGTTTCCACCAAAAACACTCCAAGCAATTGATTCATTAGGGTGTGTTTGGCATGACATTTCATCCCATTTTGCATTGAGGGCCTCCAAATTCTGTTTTTTAAGGATTAGATTTTAGCTCTGTTTGTATGAAAGGGATTAGTTGAATTGATAAAAATATTGTTTTTTTCAAAGCTTATAATTCAGAGACGCTTTTGTACTGAATTTGTCCTTTTTAAGTACCCCAAACATTTCCAAATCATAATCTACTCGCAATTAACGATAATAATGATTGAGTAATTCTTCTTCCCTAAAATCCGAAACGTTTGAAAAAAACAAACAGGTAATTAAATAAAAACCATAATCAATCATGAACTATAATTATTATTATTATAACAAAACATGAAAAAGCAAGATTTAAATTGAGATTAATGATGAAATAAGGCCTCACGCCAAACACGTACCTTAGAAACTCCGAAAGCTAACAGCCTGAAACGGTCGGTCGGAAATTCATCGGCGAATTTTCATTTCTGGGGAAACAGAGAAAGGGGGAATAGGAGGGGTGGGGGAGACAAGGGGACATCCACGTCACGGAACACGTGTAGGGGGGAAGCTGGAAGGGTGAGCTGGCACCTGGATAACCGTGCCAGCGGAATCCGACGTCAACTTGCGTGTACACGTGGCAGATGGCGAGTCGATCTACGCGTCCCCGGTTTTTGCGTCTCTATGGGCCTCCCATTGCGACCGGTCATGTGGCTGACGTGGCCATATTTAAGCGTGACGATTTATTTTAGGTGGCAAAAAATAAGAAATTACACCGCGAAACTAAACCACATTCTATATGACATTTCACGTCCGAAAAGTCAAATTGCCGAGTAAGAGTAGTTCTAAACGAAAAAATCTTCTTTTCTCTCAAAAAATAATAGTTGTTCCGTCTCTGAGTGTTTGTCTACTTTGACTTTTGAAATTATTCATTTAAGCATTTTGACTCATTAAATTCTCTCAATGTGTAAGCCTAAAAATAGTCATGTGTGATCTTGTTTGATTCGTCTTAACATATAGATTATTAATATATAATTTTTTAATATACAAATTACAAGATAAAATGGATTAAAGAAGTGCTTTGGATGGTGTGCAAAAATAAAAGTGGAAAAATACTCAGGGACGGAGGGAGTACGGAGTATACAACATACAAACTATTAATTATATTAAAGTGTACTCAATATTGTAATTTAGTCTTTTCATTGAATTGTATTAATAAATAAATTTTATATATAACACAATTAGTAAATTTTTAGACGTCAATCGTAATTTTTATTATAAATTTTACAACTTCAATTTCTGAAAGTCTTTTATTCGTTGAATATTATAATTTATTTTCTGTTTATGAAAATCATGGATTCATTTCAAAAAATGTATTATTTTTTATGTATTTTAAATTCTTAATTTAATAGAAAAAACCCGCAACCCACGTACCTCTAAAACGAACTGTTTGAAACAAGCCGGGTTACGATCGATTCTAAATGTTCTTTTCAACAACCCAGCTTGTCTCAGCCCAATTATTCTAAAAATAAGTCGGGAACGGATCCTATGAAAATCGACCCGTGCACCTCCCCCCTAGTTATACCCATATAAGTTAGATTATTTCTCCCGGACATGTGTTTGTTCATTTGAGTTTTTGAGTTAATTCAATGTACTTTAATCATCATTTTTTCTCCATTTATATTTCATATTTCCACAATTAAATAAAATTTTAAAAGTTTCAACAAATAAATCTAATGAAATCATTCTTTATACAAATGTACATTACCATTTTTTAAAAAATGAGGTCTAAAAGTCCATCAATGTTGAGTAAAAAATAACAAATTAGACGAATACACTAGGACTAAAGTAATATAAATTTGATTTAGTCACGATGTAATGCTCACATAAATAATGGTACCTCCGTCTCAAATTAGATTACAATTTTCGTATAACAAAATAAAAACATGTGTTTTAAAAAATTATTTTATTTAAGAATTTGTATAAGAGTAAAACTGTTAAGAGTATCCCACATCGGAAAAGTGTGAGAAAAATAATCGGTATATAATTTCTTGAGTTAAACTAACTAATAGATTGGATTCAATCTTTTAATGTGATCTGACCCAAGTGTCTTATTACCCGATCATGTAGTCCATACCCCATCCCAAATTCTATCATGGTATCGGAGCAAGTTTTGACCCACCTCGTTTGTCAAGGTGTCCGTCTAGACGTTCATTCCTAGCCCCCCGTTTATCTTTAGCCCAGTTGTCCGTGTGGAGTTTGTATCCAACGACCTGTGGCCCGTTTAACACGATTGCTCGTCTGGAAGTCCATACCCAGCGGCTCGTGGTCCTTTAGGTGTTGGCGCTCAAAAAAAAGTCAAGGGAATGAGAGTTAATTTGCAAGTGGTCAACCGGTTAGATTCAAAATGACACAGTTGTCCACTTGAGGAGGAGTATTAAGAGTATCCCACATCGGAAAAGTGTGAGAAAAATAATCGGTATATAAGTTCTTGAGTTAAACTAACTAATAGATTGGATTCAATCTTTTAATGTGGTTCAACCCAAGTGTCTTATTACCCAATTGAGTTGTCCATACTCATCCCAAATTCTATCAAAAACATACTTCCTCCAACCTATAAAACTTAAGTATTAAAAAATTATGTGAGAAGTTCCAAAAAATAAAGAGTGACATAAGTATTTTATTATACTAAATACCCGGAGTAATCAATAAAAACAACACGTGACAGGAATAATTTATTCTATCAAATTATGAATGAAAACACCACTTACCCTAATTTTTGTATAATAAACCATAACATTTTTTAGACACGAAGTATTTAATTCATGACGTGTCAACATGACTCTAATACGGAGTACTTCCTTATTTAGATTAATTCAAACAATATTTTTAGCCATTAGACGCGAGTACGTGCAAATGTGGGGCCACAACAGTCATTGCTGATGTCGGTCACATTTTCGGTCCATTATGACGTGTCAGGTCCACAATCCATTCCCGAAAAGATGACCAGAATGTGTATGCTACCTCATCCTCTCGCCTTTTTATTTTTCATTTTTTTACATGAATGCTTAGGGCACTAAAAAAACTGATACTCCTAAAATTCATTAGTAGTTTGGTTTAATACTTCACACAAAACGGAATTTTTTTTTTAAGTTTTTTATTTAATTTTGTTTAAATATTGCTATACAAATAAAAATAAAACTTACATATCTAAAAACTGTAAAAAGTAAAATTCAATAATACAAGTGATAACTAGAATTTTTTGGCCAAAGTCTCGAACCATATCATTCACAATTTAAACTTCAACCATGCTAGAGATAAACGAAAAAATTTGGCCAACTCGTCTGATTTTGATAGATTTGTTGGACTCATTAGCTGGCGAGCTTATGAAAATATAGTTCAACTCGAGCTCATTAAAAATATTTCACTCCGTATGTATTCGATCTAGTGCTCTGGGAATGTTTTAAATTGATTTTGTTGAACTAAAGTTTACAGTGGGAAAATTAAAAGTGAATAAGTCGAATTTATAATGTAATTTGTTTGGGCTTTACAACGGAAAAATTAAACAAAATGAAAAGAGAAGGACGCCGAAGGTCGGAAATCGAACGGATAACGAAAGCGCAGTCGCCGGAGCTTCCCTTAAGGTAATATCGCCCGCCTCCGCACTGGCTAACGTGGACGATTCCTTCCGAGGATAAAACCACTAATATGCAATGCCTGGAGTGGTAGAACCGTGCACCGACGAACTAGAACGTACAGAGAATTACTTGCTGGAAAATTTGAGTTGTGTGTTACTCCAGTGCAATTAGCCTCTCCTTATATAGGAGAGACTTTGGCTATTCGTATGGACCGGCGGACAACACGAAGAGTCTCCAGTGACTTTTCACACCGCATGCATGTTTTGTTATTAACGAGCGTCTACACGTGTTCAATTCAGTCTCGTAATAAGACAAGAGGTGGCCCACGTCATTGCCACGTCACGACGCGTCCCGCACACGCCAACACACATTCGCGCGCACGTGCGGGCCGAGCCGAACCGAACGGCGACAGTGCGCAAGGGATCCTTTCCTTCCTCCTTCTCAAATTACTTTCGTCATATAATCCAATGCTATTGATGGATACCCCAGACTGGGGGTATCCGACCCAACAGAATAAGCGACCCAACAAGGCCCATTTAATCGAACGATCCAAACACACTCGGGAAAGGGACCCCTGTTCGGCTAAGCGGGACTTGAAAGGAAACCAAGGTCTCAAGGTGACAACCGTACTCGTATGTGTATCCCTTCTCAGCTCGGATACATCCACTCGGACCCGGGACAAACCCGGTCGAACCCTCCATGGTTGGCCTCCAACAACTGAGCATGTGCACTCGGCCTCTGCCGCCAGCTAAGCACTGTGGGCCCACTACGGCGTGGGAGCATGTATGCCTTGTCTAATCAGCGGGCCCATGATTGGACACCTTGATACGCTTGTTTGTACAATTGGTTGTAGCCACCCTATTGTTTGTACGTTAGTTGTAGCCACCCTAGTTTGCAATCATGTTTCTTGCACCATCAATCAAAAGGCTTGACCTTAGTGGCCCCGACCTCCCACTAGGCTATAGACTAACGACTAGGAAGCCCAAATATGCATTGTATAAATACTCCCCCCTGGAGGAGGAAATACACGCTCATTTTTATTACTAAGCTAAAATATTCACTATACTCATACAACCAAAGGCACTCGGCTAGCATATAAATAGTGAAAGATGAAAGGTCCCAAATCCGATATGAGAAACATGGGTTTACTTTTTTCGAGTGTCGGACTTTGTGAATTAATTTCTAATTCAACCGATCTAGTACAATTTTTGGCGCATAATATGTCGAAACATTCATCTCACTTGGGAGATTATTTGTCCATAAATATTTTAGAAAAATAATTTTGTGGATTCTACCAAATTTAGGTCCGAAATTGCCCTGTTACAAGCTAAATGTTTACTTGTCCTTAATGAAAGTGAATTGAGTATATTAATTGAGGTGAGCAAATTATTCTTGTCACAACTCGTTTTATAGAATTTTTTGTTTAGTTTTTTAATATGTAATTTTTTTATTATTTATATACAAATTTGTAAATAAAATAATTTCAAAAAATGAGAAATTTTGGTTTGTAATATCTAATTTGTAATCAATTTGACGAGGGAGAGAGTAGTACTAACTGTGAAGTTGTAATAGGAAGGAGTGTGTACGTAGTGATCCGGGAAAAAGATGAAGACAACGATGTGGGAGTTCTGGGCGGTGGTTTTGGCGATTGGGGCGGCGGTGCCGAGCAGATGTGAGGGGAAGTGCTCGTCGTCTTTTCCGGCCATCTTTAACTTCGGCGACTCTAACACCGACACCGGCGGTTTCTGGGCAGCTTTTCCGTCTCAGGGCCCTCCCAATGGCATCACCTTCTTCGGAAAACCGGTCGGGAGGGCAACCGACGGCAGAGTCATTCTTGATTTTCTGGGTACCTTTATTAATCATTTTTTTCCCTTCAATTTCACCCGTTACGTTTTAATCATAATTATTCAAATCGTTGAATTTCTGGCTTGCAGCAGAGGGATTGGGGCTGCCATTCTTGAGCCCATACTTGAAATCAATCGGGTCGGATTACAGGCACGGCGTCAACTTCGCGACATTGGCTTCCACCGTCCTCCTCCCCCACAGCTCCCTATTCGACACCGGCATCAGCCCTTTCTCCCTCGCGATTCAGCTCAACCAGTTCAAGCACTTCAAGGCCGCGGTCGACGGCGGCGGCGGCGGCGCTTCCACATTCTTGCCACCGGAAAACGTGTTCGGAAAAGCCCTCTACACGTTCTACATTGGCCAGAATGACTTCACCGGCCGCCTGGGGTCTCTGGGCATTAGTGGTGTCCAGCCCTTCTTGCCCGAAGTTGTCTCTCAAATAACAGACTCTATCAAGGTAAAATATTCGCAAATTTTTCATGATTATGACTAAAATTGTCACAATTTAATTCGCTTGTATATGATGTGACACTGATGTGCAGGAAATACACGGGATGGGAGGACGCACATTCATGGTTCTCAACCTCGCACCGATAGGGTGCTATCCCGCGTTCCTCGTGGAGCTTCCTCACAATGCTTCAGATATAGACCGCTTCGGATGCCTCATTTCTTACAACAATGCGGTGGTCAACTATAACAACATGTTGAGAGACGCCCTCCGGGAGACGAGGAAAGGCCTTAATAAGGACACAAAGGTCATATATGTGGACACTCACTCCATCCTTTTAGAGCTATTTCGCCACCCCACATCTCACGGTACGTTGATCAACTAAATATAAATGAATGAAACCCTTAATGAGCGTGAAGTAAAATCTGTTAGTTAGGCCTAACACGTACCCTTAAGACAAATCTTGTCACACATACTATTTGTACTAGATATGTGTGCACTCTAATTAAATGTGTTTCTAATTTGTTGCTAGGGTTGAAGTATGGAACAAAAGCATGTTGTGGGCATGGAGGGGGAGAGTATAACTTTAACAAGGACGTTTTCTGCGGGAACACAAAGGTCGTGAACGGAGAGAAAGTGAGTGCAGGAGCATGTGATGATCCGCAGAACTACGTGAGTTGGGATGGAATCCACATGACAGACGCAGCAAACAAGCTCATCGCGTCTGCCATTTTCGCCAACAACAACAATGCTTCATCTTATTTCGATCCTCCTTTTGCATTTCATCACCATTGTGATATCCATCCCATTAGCTAGTTATATAAAAATGTGCACTATACAAGCTATACCTAGCTCTCTGACTTAAATAAATTGTGTGCCCTTGGCTTTGTTAAGTACAAATTAAAATGAATAATCAAATTAAATCTACCATAAAGACAACATATTGCACACCAATACATACCAATAACCAAGAAAGGTTTATATATAGTGATATTACCTGCAAAATTTTTGATACAATACCGTCTTAAAATACAGAGTGAATATTTGAGGCTGAGAACTCAACATTTTTAGGGCTGTAAACGGATAACCGAAAATTCGATTACCGTCCGCATCTGTATCCGTTTATATAGAAAATATCCGCATCCGTTAAAAACGGTTATTATCCGTATCCGATTAAGGATATCCGATTGCTAAANATAAGAAAATAAATATCCCATAAAAAATTATAGTTGATTTAATAATATTTTAATTTAGTTTAATTGAAAATTCAAGTATTGTTTAGTTTAGTTTTCAAAATTGGAAACGGATACGGATATATCCGATATCCGACCGATATCCGACGGATGCGGATACGGTTATGATTTTTCAATATCCGTCAAGATCCGTATCCGAATTCGATATCCGACAAAAGTAAACGGATACGGATTTGGTAATAGCACATCCGATCCGATTAAAATCCGTTTACACCCCTAATTACATTTTTGCTACAAGAATACTTGTTCGTTACTTAACGAGTTAATGGTAGTGGTTAGAAAATTCTTTCCTAAAATCATAAGAACACACACTCCCTCCTAATGTTAAGTTCTTTTCTAATTGTCGGTTACACTTTTGGTGACAAAAGTTTAATAAAAAATGTCTATTACATTATATTACCAAAAAATGTATAAAAATATTATACTTTGTATTAAATGAGTGTATTTTTAAACAATTAAATTTTGTTTTATTAAATTAATTCTATAACTTTATATTATCTGCGTATCAAAAAAAATTTACAATTAATTTTTCATGATCAAGTTTTACAAACCTTAATCACGATTATAAAAATATGGTATATATGTAGTTATCATGACATATAAATTTAATATAGTGCAAGGGCATGGTCTTGTAGGTTAAAAAACTTCTCCAAATTAACAATTTGGACTTCTCATCAATCCCGGCGATCTGGACTTCTCATCAATACCGATAACTTTGGGTTTTTTCTCCGATCACTACCGCCAAAATAGAGAGAATTCCCAACTTCGTGCTTTGTCATGGCCGTGGTTGATTGTAGGATCGTTTTCTGGAACTTCCCAGTGGGTCACCCATCCTGGGACTACTCCCGTTCCAGCACACTTAACTACAGAGTTCTGAAGTTAAAGAGGTGCCAAATGCTTCCTAAAACCAATTGGTGATAGAAAGGTGGACACTTTGTATTTAACCACATCTCTCTGTAGCCCCAAGCCAAGGTAGATTCCTATAGGGCACCCCCTATAGTTCACTACGGCAGTGCGGAGCCCCACTACTGAGCGGTGGATGGACAGGAGGGGCTTCGCAAGATACACGACTCGTGTAGCTCGTCAGGTTGGGCTGTCAGTACCCGATACCGTGACTAGCACAGTAGCGAATCCCTAAGGGTGATCGATGGTCCCCCATAAGACCAACATTGATGTTGTGCCTCATCAAAGAAAAAAAAGAGTTGCCCAACTTCGTGCTCTAGATTTTAAATGATTTTTTAAAATCTAAATTTAAATAACTACAGAATTTCAAAATACAAAAAAAATCTATTAGAATTCTAATTCAATAAACCCTTATAAATTGTCAAAGAAATTGCACAAAATCAAAAAGGAGTGGATAGTCCGCACAGGCACATACGGAGTAAAAGATTTCGAAGATAGAGAAGGGACCAATGAGAGGATTTCTCTCACAAAACTCTTCTTCCCCTAGGTAGATAGATAGAATCCAAAGTGTTGCGAGCGAAATACTCCCTTTCTTCCCCTTCTTCCATTTTTCTCCATGGCAACCGCAGCTTCCAGTTCCATGGCTGCGCCGGCCGCCGTGCTCAACCCAAGACCCACCGCTGCCCCCTTCAGACGCTGTGCCTTTCCCCGCCTTCGACCACCCCCAATCTCCGTTCCTTCTTTCCACGCCTCCTTCAAACTAGCTGGTATTCTCCTCTTCTTCTTCTTCTTTGCTCCAAATATTTATTTTTATTTTTATTGCAGGAAAAGGAATTTCTTTATTTCTCTCAAATTCATTAGAAAATTCATTTTTTTAATCATTTGGGATTTTGGTTTTAAAGTTGGGATGGGATCTTTACTGCTTGAGTGATGCATCCATAAAGTTAGAACCTCTAATGAAGGCTTAATTCTTAATTATTCTCAAATGGTCAAATCTAATGCCACACTGCCAGTGTTGAAGAGCTTCAAAAAGATTGTACCTTTGTGCTAAAGAGATGGAATGATTTGACATTATCTTTGCCCTAACAATGCAAATGTTTTCTTTCAATAGCATAAATTTGAAGCCAGGGGGATCAACCTTATGTACAGACTACTTTTGCTGATAAAAAATACATTATGATTTCTCAACTTAATATTAGTTTATATTGGGGAGTTAGTGGCTACTGCATTGGCATGACCATCTCAAAGTGGAAGCTTTATCATTTGGGATTTGATTTTTTTAAAGTTGAGATCTTTACTGCTTGAGTATATGCATCCATAAAGTTAGAACCTTTACCATTTGTTTGGATGAGGAGAGAAAATGAGAAGAAAGAAATTGAAGAGAAAATGAAGAGAAAAAAATTAGTGTTTGGATTGATAGAAAATGATAAGAAAATGGAGAGAAAAGAGATGAAAAAGATGGAAGTATAAGAATCTTGTGGTGGGAGGATGATGGTATCAATTTCTCACCTATGTTGGGGAGAACTTTTTCCCTCCATTTCTCACCTAGTTTTCTCTCCTCCCTCATTTTCTCACCAAAACAAACAATAGAAAATGTTTCGTGATGTGTGTTTTCTCACCTTGCATTTTCTTTCCTTTTCTTATCATCTTAACAAAGTGTTGATGAAGCCTTATTTCTTAACGATGCTCAATTCAAATACCCACTGTCAATCATGGAAAACTTTAAAAAGATTGTCCGTTTGCGCTAATAATTGGAACCCTTCAACATTATCTTGTCCTGACGATTCAAATGTATTCATTGAATTAACCAATAGCTGTGTTAGTGCATTTTGTTTGGGGGGGGGGGATGAATCTTACATAAATACAGCGTTTTCTGAAAGGAATGCAGTATGAATTCAACTGAGTAATTTTTCTGAAAACAGAACACAGGAGGTCTTCTTGTCTGCAGGTCAAAGCATCTTCTTCACCTAAGGACACATCAGCTGTTATCGATGCTGAAGAACTGTTTGCTGATCTAAAAGAAAAGGTACCTCCCATCCTCCTCCCCTCTCTTTGTACTTTTTTCCCTTTTCCTTTTCTGCTATAGTTTCTCTTGATGCTTTACTATGATAGTTTTCTGTTTTTTTCACTCGTAAATAGGAATAAGACTATCAGTGTCAGTCTCTGTGCTTTTACTTTGTTCATGTTATTGTGTTACTTTGTCTATGCTTCTGTGTCTAATTTTGTTGTATCTTGGAAATAACATCTCTACTTTCGAGAAGAGGTAAGGTCTGCGGGCACACACCCTTCTCAAACCCTACTTTTTTGTGGGATTTTGCTGGGTTTGTATGTTGTTTGTTGTTGTAAAGTACTAAAGTGCTTGTTTCATTTATTCCTTCTGGTCCTACTTTTAGTGGGATGCAATTGAAAACAAGTCAACTGTACTTGCCTATGGAGGTGGAGCAATCTTTGCAGTTTGGCTATCTTCAACTGTTGTGGGTGCGATCAACTCCGTTCCTCTGGTACGCATTCTTCGTGCTCCTTTATATGAACTCTGTGTAGTCATTTCCGGTCATTGTTCAACGTGTTTTTTTGCATATGCGATATTTTTTTCATCTTCTCCAGCTACCCAAAGTGATGGAGTTGGTGGGGCTCGGGTATTCCGGGTGGTTTGTGTACCGTTACCTTCTCTTCAAGGTATGTTTTGGGGTTTGCATGCATTCTTTGTTACTTTTATTAACTCTTATCCTTATGCTAGAGTCTTTTTTTCTCTGTATCGCTTGCAGTCAAGCAGGAAAGAATTAGCAGAAGACATTGAACAACTGAAGAAGAAGATATCAGGAACTGAATAAATAATGCATAAGTTGAACCCCCAGCCAACATCATTTTAAATTGATCATCTTTTACATTTTGTATAAGAAATAGTATTCTTGTTCAGTGTTAATCATGCAGAGCCAGAAAGCTTGTGTGTTTTTTAAGGTTTCATCTTGCTGTAATGTAGAATCTACACACCCGTTACAATTTCATTACCCACTGTTATTTTCATATACTTTGAAATTCTGCAACATTGGACAAGCACTAGAGAATGGGAATTCTGAAAATTGAAACATGAATTATGTCATGTAGCAATGAGAGTAGAAGAAAAAACACTTGTGATTAGTCAGAGAACAGATGACCATCAGTTCACATCCCATTTACACACCATTTCAGAAAGATTTCTCATTCATGCATACAAACTTACAAAGGGTTCAAAAGATTTAAACTACAGCTGCTACCATTGGAGAGAAATCAAGGTCGCCGGAACTATCCCCACACACGAAAGTACAGAGAAAAAAAATCACCTTTTTTTATTGGAAATACTCAATCAATAGCTCGTCAGCGGCGGATAGTGAGCTCGGCCCTAAGGTGGAGAATGCCATTGATGAAGTAGGGGCTATCATCGGCCATGAAATTAGCCCAAGACATGCCAAACAAGTTCCTGTACCCCACAGCTTTCCCCCCAATAAAAGTGTAATTCCCCTTGTATTTGCTGATGAACTCTTCTGTTAGCTTCGACCTAGCTGCAAACTCGTAGTCGACCGCAAACGACATGGACCCCTTTTCTTGCATCCCAAGAAAGAGGCCGAAGCAGTGCGACGAGCTCTGTTGGTCCATGTTGCAATGGGCAGACAGGAAGAAGCCTTGTCCTCCCAGGTGGAACGCCTGAGAATACACTCTCCCGGATGGATACAGATTTGCACACTCCTCGCGTTTCAGATCCAAGTAGACGATGCACTGATGACGTGGCGTCTCAAACTCCACCACCTTGATGGGACGGTACTTGTAGGCCCGCTCGACGAAACGGCGGCTGGATGAAGTGGAGCCTTCCGCGTATTGGGTCCGCTGCCGGTGCGGGGAATCTGCCTTGAAAAACAGGGCATCGAGGACGTGTTTGGTTGCAAACTCGTGGTCAAAGTCATTGCAGACGAGGATCTTGCGAAGCTTCCTGCAGCTCACGTAAGGGAAGCGTATGTAACGACCGAGGTGGGACCCAAGAATTCTGTGTCGGTCCTCCAATTTGGGATAGTGGACCCTTGCCCACTTCACCACAATGTCATATACTGCATCCTCTGATGCCACTTGTAGGTCATCACTTGCCAATATTGCTTCAATTCCAGCCAAGGGTAAGTTCATGACTTCCTCTTGAAACCTGCAGTCCCGATGTTGAATGGACCCATTATGACTATATGCACACAAAAGCCTTGAAATTGAGCCAAGAAACTAAGTAAAAACAGGACTTTACTTGGAAACATCTTTGTAGCGAGCAGCTAGAAACTGCTTTGCTGCATCGGTTAATGGCTGAACAGCGTCGGCCATCAGGACGCTTGAAGGAAGCTCTAGATACAGCAATGCTGCTTCAGGAGTCATTGGTAAGTTACGTAGTTGGCGGCTGCAGTGCCTCATGCATGAAGCAACCTCAAATTTATCAGCAGCCAAAAGTATATCCAACAAACCACTTGCAGATGTTGTTGTGAGAGTATTGCTATACATGAAGTTCAGGAGCTCCATCAGTGCAGCTTCCTCTGTTGAACAGATAAAAAAGCAAGCATATGATTGCAGAAAGGGTAGACAATTCCAATCAAAGTCAGAAAATAATCAAGAATATCATGAAAGTTGTTAAAAAGAAAATTACCGGATGCATAAATTTGAAGGGTGACTTGTCTCTGCTCTGATTCCCTCATCCCATTAGAGAAAAGCTGCAGATGATACAAGACAAAGAAGGTCATGCACTAATTATATAATGTATGACAATGTATGTGCATACAGCTATATGAGTCACTTGCACTCCACCCCCCAATGTGTTTACAGTAAATTACAAATTTACACGATGACTGAAGTATTTATATTTACCTTGTAAAAGAATGGACTTTTTGCTGCCAGGATAGGAGAGCTGATATGTATTGTTTTGACTTTAGTAACCTTTGAATCCATGTTCCAATCAGAATCTTCGCTGTCAGGAGCTTCATCTCCTAGTTAACCAAATAGTCTAATTTTAAACATTCAGCTAATTTCATTTGACTGAAGTATTCATGTATCATGAGATCCACCTCATATTACAAAGTACTGCTATATGGACAACAATCCTACCAAATCGTGTGAAACAGCTCCTTTCTTTCTACGAATACATATAAGTTCATTAATTACCTTTAATGCATTCAATCTTTCTCAACCAGGTTTTTAAAATTGGACTTCAGAAAGTGTGACCATCCTAAGTTACTGTAGAATAATATGTACATGAGCAAATAGCTCATAAGAGATTTATAAAGACCTGAAGGTGCCTCTTCAATCATTGCAACCCCTTCCTCTTCTTGGTTGTCAGTATCAGCATCAACATCTTCTTCTGGATCAATCTGGTGACAGCTAAGAATCTGTTCCTCTGGACATATGGTTATATCCAAAGCTGCAAACGAGTGGCATATGTCTGGTTATCATCATAGAAAAACATGCTGGCATAAGAAAGAGAAGAGGTTTGACTAGTGCGAGATATATTTGCTGCTAATGCTTTATTAATTTATTTCCAGGCGACCATGCTAATTAGTTTATTTGGGTAATAAAATGGAAGAAGCAAACTAAGGTCCCAATTTACAACCACAATGCAATGGGGAATGAATAATGAATGTTAACATCTTAGTTTGAATGAGATATATGCCGGAAATGCAAAATCCATTAAAATAGTTTTAAGCCTTTAATTCAACAAACATACCCCGTAGTAGAACGTTACATAACAAATACTACTTGCCTACTTGGATGGTAATCGAATCACGTTGAAGAAACCCTTGTGTGGAATCCAAGGACAAGAATGAGCATGTTTAGATGCATGCCAAAATTTGAACTTCAAAAGTGTTTCATTGACATTCCCCAGCAAACTTCTATGTGAAATGGCGATTTAAGGGAACACAAGAAACAATATAGTAATAAGAAATATCTTCATAGATAAAACATTGCAAGAGAATTATATTCTTAAATCATTGGGGATTTTTAATGGATTCCAGCTGCCAATTTATATCCGATCACGGGGATTGTTAATGGATTCCACAAATTCACCCATAACATCTATGCAAATCAAAACAAAACAACAAAATTGTTCATCGAACATTGTTAAATGTTAATGATTTTTAAAAAATGATAAAAGAATCTTTTTTACTCTTTGTTTCCCTATCATTTCTTCATCACCCCAACCCAAAAAAGAGAACAGATACATCTACATATACATATACACGCTCAACAAAAACAAAAATAATAAAAAAAAAGAAGATATATTGAGGTATAGGGGACGAACCGTTTTCGGTGGTGGTGTCATTTTCCTTGCGGCGTTTGCGGTTGCGAGCCCAATCGGCGATGCTCTGATAGCCGTCGGATTCGGAACGGTGGTCGGTCGGGTCGGCAACAATCTCGATCCGCAACAAGCGGTCGGAGAAGTTGCTATCGTTGAAGGCGAAGGCGAAATCGGGCTGGTGGCCGGACGTAGGGGAGTAATCGGGGTCCATCACGGCGGTTCCCGGGTCAAACAGGTCCAAATTCCTGTCCTTCATGGCGCTGGTGTGGTTTCAACCTGAAAGGATCAACAAGATTCCACTGGTAGGGATGAGCCCAAAAGTAATTCTTCTGAGCTGAAGTTTGAATTAAGCTCTCGTCTTCATCCCCTTTTGTGGGTGAGAGAAAGAAATAGAGAGAGATCGAGAGAAAGACAGGGGAGGGGGGAGGGCATTTACTGCACAATTCAGATTTCGCATATAATTCCGGACTACAACAGTAGGCTTCCTTTTGCATTTTGAAAATCAATTCTAACATTAATATTTTCAGAATTAATTTACGCTATTAAAATTTTATAAAAAATATGTTAATCAGAAACATTGATTCGAAATAAGACTTTAGTCCATTTGAAGCACTTTTTTGGCATTTACGAGTTATATATGTTAGATTATTTTAATGAACTAATATATGTGAACTAACAAACTAAGATATTTATACTTGTTCTAAAATTAACATTTATATTGGGTTAATTAAAAGATTGAGTAAATTTCAAAATCAATTCTTTATAAAAGAGAGTTTTCATATTTATTTCTCTATCATTAAATATTACTCATATGATCTTTCTTTTACGGGTATATTTTTACCAATAGTCTTTTTCTGACCTTCTGTCATGTTGGTGTTAAATTAAAGGCTAAAAGTATAATTTTACATCAATCATATGTCTAGTGACATATTCTTATATCGGCATGACGAATACACAACAATAATGATTGTGGCTATGGATTACGATTATATCAGAGACGACATCTATAAACTACGGAGTATGATTTCAATAGAAAAATCAAATGACAAACGACACATCAGCGATGGCCTTTGACATGGATAATGACATGAAATATATATTAGGGGTGGGCAAGAATCTCAATCCCGTTGTCCCGACTCATGCTCACCCCTAATATATACACCGTATGATAATTGTGAAATTAAGCTTTTAGCAAACACGATAATGGTTAAAAAACAAATTGTGGAAGATATCCGTAAAAAAAGAACTACATATGCGATATTTAATAATATAAGACTAAATATGAAAATCATCTATTATAAGAACCAATTATAGAATTTATTTTAAGAGATTTAATTTAAATAAAGTAGACCTAATTAAACATCTTATACGGTATGAAATTTGTAACGTGTAAAATTCAGTAGTAAACTTCGAGTTAATAAGGTCTATTGTAGTTGCTATAATGTAATAGAGGTTGGTCTCCAAGACAAATCTCACGAGTACTTCTCTATTTCCATCCATCGAGAGAGATTCATTGAGATTAATTATCAACCTATGAAAGACCACATTTCTTTGCGGTCAAGTCAACAAATGTTATGAAATCGGGTTATTTACTTAATTGTTTATTTCATAATTTTGATAATTTAAAATAAGTTAATTTATTAATTATGTCCCAACAATATAGTACTCCGTACGTAATACAACATTGATATGCATAAAATTTAGTCCTGATGTATCATGTATGGTACATACCCGGTATATAATTTGATATGGTTTGAGGATTTAGTATATATAATTACTCCGTATAAAAAAATTAAGGTTGAATTTGACCATTGGAAGTAATATTATCTAGTCTAAAGTATA